CATACGTGGAGCTATAGATTTGAAAGATTTTGAACTGTGGAATTTCTGGTGGCTGGTAAAATGGTGGCTCCTCAGTTGAATCGCAGAGACGGCAGATCATTCGACCAGACTCCCAGCATATGCAGATGTTCTCTTAGCCTGAAGTGTTGGGGGTGATGATGCCTGTAATTGTTCTGAGTTTTTGTTTGGAGAGGTTAATCTTTTAGATTCAAAGCAAATATTTGCAACGAGAAGTACCAAATTGAATGATAACATAAAACTATTACACCGTCCGACAGTAAATTTTACACGAAAAAAATGAATATATTCGCGAGACAATGAGTAAATTATAGTAAACCTGCGTATTTGCAATTGAAAAATATCATTACTTCAAAAAATTATTTAAAAAATTCAGTACAATGTTAGATAACAATATGTATATCCTATAAAAGAAAAAATTCTGCGAAATTATAACAGAATACATTTTTTGGGTCATAAGGACGAATGGGTATAGAAAGTATCCTTTACAAATTTTGTCCTTAAATATCCTTGAAAATTTACAAAATTTTTTTTGAAAAAATTATTGTTTGGGGACTAATATACGCACCATCTTATCACCGAATTTCGTCCTGCAAAATTTATCTATTAAATTAAAAAGATCAAATTTATTAAAAGTGCATTTTCAGTACCTATTCGTCATTGTAAACCAAAAAAATTTATTGTTTTTATATTCTACCGAATTTTCTCTCTATGGTACCCATATTGTTATTCTACATTGCACTGATTTTTTAATATCTTATTATTTTTTTAATTAATCATGTCTTTAACATTTCAAAGTCTTTTGAGTAAATATCCTGACGTCAGAGTGAAAAACTAAAAACCCAGTTTTAGTATATTTGGCCCACAGTTTCGTGAGTATATCGATTCTTCGTGTGTTTTGATTTTTTTTTGTTTTTGTCGCACGGTATTACTATTTGAAATAAATAAAAAATAAAATATAAATAAAATGCTTACCAAGTTAAAAAAATAAAAATAATAATTGATCAAATTAAAATACTTATTTCGTTTCGTAGTTAATTAAAATTTGATTTAAGTTATTAACTATTTGTAAAGACAAGCTGTACAGAGATTGCCCCTTTCATTCTCAAAATATTAATTATGCTGTAATCCACGTTACAGTTAATTTTCAGGTTTGTTTCATTATACTTACAACCGAGGATTGATTTCTCAGAAACCCTTCTTCCGGTTACAGCAGACATAATTTCCCTGCGGCAATGTTCGCGTATCTTCAGTTGGACACCATTGCTGTGGGTTAGATAGATAATATAAATGATGCGCTGCGACCAGTAGGTCTAGTATGGCCTCAATTATACACAACTCCTCTGTCAGAACCAGAGACTCTATAGGTTTCAGAATAGATCTTGTGGTAGAGACTGAATGTGCACTCTCCTACCCAGAGATGCCCTATGCCTCCTTGGTGTAATAGTGTCTACTTTGTAGCGTCACAGAAGCGACATAGGAAGCTTGAATAGATACCAAGCTTATATAAATGATCTCTTAAACCTCAATGGCCCGTAAAAAAACCTGCAATGATTCATAGTTTCTCCTTAGGCAGGCCCATGTATAATGTAGGAAGTCCTGTATTATTACATCAATGCAGTTCCCTTAGTTTGGTATTTTTCTTCCTGAGCGCTTCCTATATTGTGTTGGGACTTATTAAAAGGAAGGGCTCCCGTCCGGTCGGGCTTGAGGCAGCGGCCAGTCTGACTAATTGATCCGCTTCGCATAGAAATCGGATGGCACACTCGAAGGATGAGAGAGCCTTGAGTGCCGCCTACGAAGGTTAATCTCAACACACAGACTAATCGCATAGACTTTCGCTTGAAAGATGCTTCAGAAGGTTCCATGGGGCACCAAGAGCATCGGCCTTGGGAATTAAGTGTCTGCTCCAATCGATTCAGGAGTGTAATAGATATTTGTAAACTGTTGTAAGACAATATCATGGTGTATATCCATCTTTGCATCCTTGCGGTGCAACTCTAGGATTTTGCTCTGTCGTAGCCCTTTTGGCCGCCTCAACATGAGTCGTCGATAGGAGTTTAGAATCCCGGATAACTCCAAGATACTTCACTTCTGCGGCGGCGCAGACCACGACACCTTGGCAGTGGATACACTCATCAGTGTATATCTGTTGGAGTTCGCCCACAACAAAGCTCCACAGGGGAGGAGATAGCACTCTTCTTTTCGGGCACCTTTTTGTCATTTTTAATTGAACAACGCTGTGAACGACTACGGCTACACTCAAAGACCTCTTAAATTTTCGACTTCAGGGCTAGATCTACAGACTCCGCTCTGTACGTGAGCTGGTCGGAATGTCTGGGAAATTTTTCAGAGTCTTACACCTGATATCTTGCCCAAAATGTTCTCCATTGCTTTCAGCAAAAAGGAGGTGAGACTTATCGACCTGAATGACTTAGCAAGAGAATACCCTCTCTTACCTACATACCTTCTGGATAAATATAACACGGACCCTATGCCACACCTCAGAAATTTGGGCCAGTGCTAGGCTGTCCCTCATAATATTAACAAGTTGTAGAAGCAGGAGCTCCAGACCCCGCTGCAGAAGCACTCGACTGATGCCATGCATCCCGGGAGCCTTGCACCGTTAGAAGGAGGCCAGCGCCCAGCGAATCGGCATTTAAGAGGCTTTGTCTAGCAACCAGTTCTAAGGGGATGACCTAAACGCACTGTACACCGTATTCCTCCGAGGTCTAATTAGAAAACTACTGGGAGTTGAGAAAGGGAAAGCGGCCTTATTTACATAACTCTTAATTTCAAAATGACGTCAAAGAAAAGAAAGAAAAAATTGATTACAAATTTATTTCATTAAACTTTATTTTTATGACACTAATTTTTATTGCTTTTTTGCTAGATTTCTCTTTCATTTGTACAAAAAATAAATACACTTAAGCATATCAATAAATTATTTATGGAAATAAATTTTTTACTTAATTCAATAGTCAATAAAATTCATGGTAGATATACTATTAAAAAATGTTTTTACATGAAAAACAACAAAAGAAGAAGAAAAAACAATAAGTATGGGAAAGAAAATTTACTGCTTTCCCGCTTTTTTAACTGTTAATCTAATCTTGAATCTATCTTTTTTAAAATTATAATTTAAGCTATAAAATCGGAACAAAATAAAACACGCTCGTATACAAAAAAAAAATTGGCTAATACATTATATACTTTTTGATTTTTTTCTAAAAAAAAACTTTGTTTATTAATACTATTTCTTAATAAATATAAGAGTAAATATAAGAGTACAAACATTTGACTTAAGTTTTATTTGACACTTAAATAAACATTATTTTATAAATTTATTTACTGGGTTAAAGTTGAATAAGAAATTGACTGGTTTCCAATAACTACTACACTGGGGTTAGCATTGGGTAAAATATTAAATTTTGTTCTAAAATTTGGCTTTTCTTTTAAACTAGGTTCATTTCAAATTTAATCATAATTAATTTTATAAAAAAAAAATTTTTTTTGTAATTTTCAATATATCCACCTTTTATTATATAAAAAATATTTTTATATGCAAGATAAAAGAAAAAATTTGGAAATCAAGTTTTATTAAGAAAAAAAATTAATTTGGTAATTAAACAAATTTTTTAATTTGATTTTGATATTTCATTCCTTTTTTTTGTTATCAAAAAGTATTTATTTCGATTTGAGAAAGTATGAATGCAATAGAAATTTCGAAGTAAAGTTTTTAGGTATGAAATTTATATTGAATTTTATATATTTTATTTAAGTTTTTCTAAAAATTGGTGATTCAAATTGGTGATTGTTTAATTTTTATAAAAATTTTGTTTTTTTTTCAGTTTGGAATTTTATTGTTTTTTTATAAGAAGCGATTAACGAAGAAATATAAATGTTTTCATGATATTTTGTAATAATTGCAGCTAACACATTTTCATTTTATGTTTTTTCTTACAAAACAATTTTTCTTGGTTTCTTTAATATTTATTTATAAAATTTTTTTCAACCAAAAAAGTTTTCTTGTTTTTGTTTCTTGTTGAATTTTTATAATCGATAATTTTTTCAGTTTAACAAAATGTAGGTACAGTGATTTTTTTGATGGAATTTATTAGAATTTCGGTACTAAATTATTGTATGAAAATTTTTAAAATACTTTTTAAGAGTTTTTTTATATTTTTTACTGGTTTATTTTGAACGTATTTTTGTAAAAAAAAATTTAATTCATTTTTAATTCGCTGTTTACGTTTATGAATGTTTTTTCACTAAATGGTTATTTTTCTGCATAAATTATTTTTACAAAATAATTTTTTTTTTCACAAAAATTGTTTGATATTTCGGTTTTGTTGAATTTTTATATAAAAATTGTTTTTCCGATTTAAGAAAGCATAAGTACATTGCGAATTAAAAAAAATATTTTTTATTAGAATTTTAGCTACTAAATTTTTGTATAATTTTTTTTTAAAGATATTTTTATCATTTCTTACAGGTTTATACTGAACGTATTTTTATTTGAAAATTAAAATTTTTTCTTTAAATTTAATTTTTAATTCATTGTTTATATTTACCAATAGTCTTGAAAGTGGGGAACGTTTGTGTTGCAGGTTGGGAATTTCGTGGACGAGTAGATTTTTTTTCTGAAGGTTCTTATTATTTTTTTCTTCATTGAAAACGAAATCGATTTTGCTAATAAAAGTTTTATTTCTCCATTTTTTGTACATATTTTGGCACCAAATTTTCCATATTTAATTCACTAGGGCTATTTACTATGGCACAAGGGAATTCTCAGGTGTGACTTGGCCAACTGGATATATATATGTATGTATGTATGTATATTTACAAAAAAATTAACTAAGCTGCTGAAAATACCTATACATATACAAGTATTTATGTACATATATTTGTATTAGATCGTCGAAATATGAAACAAAATCCAAATTTAAGCATAAACATAAACTCCCTTCATGCCCTCCCCCTCATCCCGTTAGCGTCTGTGAGCGTACCAACGTCAGATCCAACGGCATTGGCTTGTGTATCACAGCATGCGCGAGCGCTGTAGCCTCACTGCTGCTCAGTGTAGACGGTGAGGCGGTCGAGTGTGGCGGCGTCGTAGATTTCAGTGAATTTTTTCCACCATCCGTAATGCTTTCGGCGAAGCTTTCGCGCGCCGTCGCCGCCACCGCCGCCGCTGCCGCCAACTGTTTTTCCAATTCGCGCCCCTTCAATGACAAGTCGATGGGCTCTTCTTGCGTATTTGCAGCAATGCAACCAATTGATGTTGCTGCTGCTGCTGCCGCAGCCGCCGCCGCTGCAGCAGCTTCGCTGACACGTTTGATTTCTTCCTTCAGCGCAGCTGGCATGAGATGCGCTGGCGGACTACCGGAGGAGAGTGATGTAATTGGCGGTGCACCTAGTGGCGATATGTGTGGCGGCAAGGCGAAATGCGGAAAAGCGCTGCGCAGTGGCTCTGAGTGCGAGCGATAGATTTGTAGCAGCTGCTGGTGGCGTCGCTCTCGCGCCTCAGCCGCTTCCAATTCGTCATAAGCTGTAGAGGCAAGATGTTGTGCTGAACTGCAGTTGCGCTCTTGACGACCTGAAACACTGCTGCGCGCGTCATCTACCGCATCGCCTGCGGAAGAGGCGCCCGAGTCGCTGGGTGTGTCGCTGAGTCGCGTTTCCGCTTTGCCATAACTGAAAGCGGGTAAGTGATGGTGGTGTTGATGAAGTTGATGTTGCAAGCCATGTTGCAGGCCATGCTGCTGGTGGTGGTGGTGCTGTTGATGATGATTCTGGTGATTTCGCCCACTGTCCGCAACGCCGTTGAGAAATTTCGCCGCGCTGCTTAGTAGCGCATGTTGCGTTGGTGGTTGCGGTGAGCCTCGGCTGTTGGCGGCGACTGCGGCGGCTGCAGCAGCACTGAGCGCCAAAGCTGTCGGTGATATGCTGGCTGATTTTATGCAGGGATTAGTTTTGTCTTGGTATGTTTGTCGCGCTTGTAACTGATGCAGTCGCGCAAGTTGTTCGAAGCTGGCTCTGCTGGTATTATTGTCACCCATGCCGCCACTGCCACCATTTCCATTTCCGCCGCCGCCACCGCCACCGCCTCCGCCTGGGCCATTGCCTGGTACGCTTTGTTGTTCTTGCAGCAAACAGTGTATTTTAAACCAATTGGAGCGGCGGCCATAGCGTGATCCGCTCTTCGACATGCCTACCAGCAGACACTTGCGCAGGCGACACGCTTTGCAAGCAGTGCGATTTTTCTTATTGATAACGCAATCACCATTGTTTTTGCAACCAGCGATAGCGGAAATGTTGTTATACGTACGACCGAAGAAGGACTGAAACGAGAGCAAAGAAAGGGTAGAAGAAATGAATAAATAGTTCACTAAGAAAATGGTCTTTTCCCACTAGAACTTGAATGGAGATCTCCCTAAGTGAGGAATAAAAGAGTACTCCCCTTGACCTGATTTCGGATCAATAAGAGAGATTTGTGGACTTTTTACTCCCTTATTACTCGTTTAGGAGTCAATAGGGACATCTCCTAAGCTAGCAATTAAAGAATGCTCCCTGAGGCATGATTTGGGAGCAATAAGCGAGATTAGTCGGTTTTGCACTCCTGTATTACTCACTTAGGAGTATAATGGGAGATCTCCCAAGTGAGCAATAAAAGTATCCTCCGGGATACATGATTTCGGAGGTATAAGCGAGATTTGTTGGTTTTGTACTCCGTTATTACTCGCTTAGGAGCAAAAATCGATGTTTCCTAAGCGAGCAATCCAGGAGTATTCTTTTTAATTGATAGGAGAGCTATACGCACCTTCTTCAACATAATTTTGTGTTTTTGGAAAATGTATGAAGAAAGCAAAACAGATAACTGATGTGTACATTCATACTTATATACATACATATGTATTTCTAATTGAAAAACTTAAATCAGGAAACAATGAAATTAATTGGAGAGCAAATCCTTAGAGCCGCTGGTATGTATGATAGCATTTGTTTAAACTTATAAATGATTGTATTATTTAACTCAAAATATATTTCAGATTACGGGGCCAGCAATTAAGGCGTCTACGTTCTAGCGTTGCAATCTTGCCCCGCCCAGAAAACTTACTGGGTACAGCCGGAAGTTTTTCAAGGCGTGAATAGTTTGGGCCACTCCCGGGTGAATACAAGTTAAATAACTTTTCCAGGAAATCATCCTCGCCACACTTATCTTGTGGATTGTATAAAAGTATATATGTATGTATGTATAATGTTTGAGTTTGTCATTACTGTTCGATATCCGTTTTCTAATTTTAGTTAATATTGTAATAATAATTATTTATGTTTCTTTCTGTTTTTGTAATAATCAGCTTAAATCTTGTATTTATGTGCATAAGTATGTATATATGTATATGATTAAAAAATTAAATAAATGAATTGCGTAAAAAGCAAAATCTTTTTAGCTTATGTAAAATGCTCGTTATGGAGCAATGTGGGAGTAGTCTTCCATTACTCCATGAGGAGGAATTCGGGAGTATAGAGACGTTCTTTTATTACTCGTACAGGAGCCTTCCGGGATGACTCTTATGGGAGTACTCCCTTACTACTCGTTAGGGAGGAATGTGGGATGTTTTCTATGTGCACTCCCTTGTTGTCTTTTTGGGAGGTTTCTGGGAGGTAACTAAGGGAGTACTCCCGTATTGCTCCATTAGGAGGTTTGTGGGATGATAATTCTGTGTGTGCTCCCCGATTGCTTGTTTAGGAGGTAAAAGGGATTACTCCCCCTCCTAGGACATCCAATGTTAAAGGGAGTATACAAAATTACATGCTTATACACAGAAGCATAGGGAGCAATGGGGAGTATTCGTATACTCCCAAGGGAGTACTCACCGAGCAATCGTACGATGCTCCCAAGTTCTACTGGGTTATTGCTTATAGAAGTACGAAATATGTAAATATATGAAATCATAATTTTTTTAATGTTTTCAAGGGCGATTTATATTAATTTTTTTATAAGTGCTTTTCCTAAATGTCAAATACAATTTTTTATATTAGCTATCGTAGTTTAATCTCAAGTTCCTGCGCTTTGATGGTCTTAACTAACTCGGTTTAGGAGCTCACTAAAGCAGCGTATGCTCACCAATAGGCGACCGAACTTTGCGATAGACATCAAGACACCTGCTGCACAAACAGATTAAATTCAGCTCACACACGAAGGGACCTTATGTTCGGCCACCATTTCAGCAATCTTGAATGAGCTGGTTTACCTAATATTTTGATCCGGATTAACGCCGCAATTGATCTGATCAAAATTGTGCCTTGACAGACTGCAGTAATGCGGATTTACGAGCCGCGAGGTAATAGGTTCGAATCCCATGGCCAGTAGAATATTCATTTAATTTTTTTTATCCATTCAATTATAACTACTATATTATTTCAAAGTTGTTTTTGACTTTTTTTGTAAAATTAAATTCATTTAGTTTAACTAATAATAAAAAAGTTAAATACAATAAAACAAACGAAACTAAAATAAGAAAAATTTAATATATAAAAAAAAAAATTAAGTAACAATAAAAACAAAATTTTTTGGCAATCTCTCCAACCGAGAATGGAACCTGGGACGTGCAAGCTTGTAGTACGCAGCCCTCACCACTCGGCTACCGCGGATGAAGTAGTTGGCTGCTTTGTTTGCGTATTTGTTTGCTCAGGAAGCGTAGAACACAAAGAAAAAGCAAAATTTTTTGGCGTGGATATTAGAGTGGTCCAAAAACAGTAAAGTCAGAATTGTAATGCTCTCACCCCCTTGGATTGTTCTATATCGCCAAAAACTAAAAAGTTTTCCATATATTTTTATATGGGAAAAATTAAATTTTTCGTAGAAATGGTCTTGAAAACCAATATTTTTCGATAGGAAAACCCTGGTTCTCTTCAGGAGGCTTTCAGTAATAATACCCAAATATTTATTTAACCATTTTTTAATACTAACGATTTTTTATTGGTCGCCTCATTGCATTTTTTTGGGGTTTTTGTAGGTTTTTGGCGGATCTGTAAATTATTGACGTGTTGAAAAAATGGTTAAATAAACAATTGGGTATTATTATTGGGAATCTCCAGCAGATAAACTGAGTTTGCTGGTAGAAAAATATTGATTTTTGACTATTTTATACCATTTCTACGAAAAGTTGTTTTTCCCCATATAAAATACACGGAAAACTTTGGGTGCATTGAGCGACCTCTAAATATTTTTTGATTTAAAAAAAAAAAAAAAATACGGGTCTATTTTTTTCGGTATAGAACAATCGTAGGGGGTGAGAGCATAAAAATTGCGACTATACTTTTTCACGTGCATTTTTGGACCACCCTAGTGGGAATTCACCTTGTCGTCGGTAATGCAGTCACCGTATTAATTCAAATAAGTTCTTATTCAATTGTAATTTAACGAACTAGTATGGTGACTGCATTACCGATGAACCATGCTAGTTTTGTACTTTCTCTGTATTCTACGCTCTCTAAGTTTTCGTCAGTGTTGTCATCGAATATTCGCTTTTTCCGACTTAAGTTTGGGAATTAGCTCCAGGACTTCGTCCGGATCAACTGCAGTTAATTCCCGAGATAATTCCGAATTAACGAGTTGGCCCGGATCCACGTTGCCGTCTGTTTAAGCTTTTAGATTCAGGGTCTACTGCCATTTCTACGGTTCGGTCAAAGCTTGAAAACAAGTTTGGTAGCGGCATTTAATATGAAGACATCTCACTAAACCTCAGAATGTGGCAGCCTGATCACAGTAGAGTTTTTCAGCTATAAGGGAGGCCGCCCTATGGATTAATCGCGCCGCAACTTCTCCGCAGCCCGTTATAATTCATTCTGACGGGAAAGCAGCGATTAGATCTCTCAAATGCAGCCACACTTCGTCGAAAGTGGCTGTCCAATGTTGGAGTGTTTTAAAAAAATTAAAAAGGATTGATATAGGTAAGAGGTGCATACTACAACTCGGCGGGAGCATGGATCGATATTTGGTCGGAGAAACCACTAAAAATATAAAAAGTTTGTTTTTAAAAGCAGTCTCCTTTCGGCAGTCAATGACAAACATCCGTGTGTACTCCTGGCATGCAAAAGCTTGTCATAAAACCATTTATCATTGGGAGGCGTCGCTAAATTGTAGGTCCATCCATTTGTTTTATTGAATTAAGTAACACGTCACATATTGGAGGAGAAGCCCGGTCAAAATGTTAGAAAAAATCTGAATGCCAAACATTTATTTCATTATCTACCGCAATATTGAGAAATAATGGTAGACGAAAAATTGTTTTTTATTGCGTTGAATTGCATTTTGCTGTTTAACATAGAAAGTAGTATTCTGAAAATAATGAAGTGTTCGACCAAAAAGCGCAACATTTCAATACAATTAATTTACTCATAAATTTTCAAAATATTTGACAGCTAAGTTGATCTCCTAAAAGAGAGTGAATACAAAATTTAATTGAATTAAATTCAAAAGGACACAAGCTCTGAATTCTTGTATCTAAGCGTGCGTTCACACAGGAAGCTGAGCAGAACTGAGCGGAGTCATTCCGAGCGGAGCGGACCGAAGCTATCAAATTGTTGTAGATATATGCAAGTTTTCATACAGAAAGCCTTTTCAGAAGATCTTTGGAGCTAAAAGCTAAGCAGTTTTTGATTTTAAATTTGCTATTTAAGTTTTGTTTTATTTATGATGCTGCTGTAATAAAGAAGCAAAATATTTAAATAAAAGCGAATTTCGCAACAAATTTGTTGAAACATACTAAGTAAATAATTTGGCTCCTTTTTATAAAAGATAAGATATATGGCATCTATGCGTCCGAGAAATTCAGGAAAGCTCCGCTCCACCTCCTTAAATGTGCCCACATACCTGGAGCTTCGCTTGGCGTTGCTCGGCTTTCTTTGTGAACGTATCCTAAGGAAAGCAATCCTTCAGCTTTGAAGGCCAATATTTCGGATTTAATTTTATACTATTAAAAAATACCAAAAATCCGTTTTTAGACACTTTAAACTCCAAATATTTTAAAAACTAAAGAGCTAATTGAATAATTTGAAGATCAGAATAGGATTGTATGGAAAAAGTATACAAGAACCAGTGGTCACAGGTTGTGCCGCATGCAGTTGCTGGAATTTTGTTCCAGTTTCTACAAACCTACAGCTAATTCTAATCTAACTTACGGCGCTTCAACACGTGAACAAGTAAAGACGAGTAAAATAGCGGCTTGCTAGCTGAGCCTAACAAAAGATTTAAGCTGCGAACTTCACACGAATACCAACAGAACTAAAGCCTTTCATGCAGCAGAAACATTTCAAATCTGGCTTTGTCTATTCT